ATAGATTGTCAATTCTAAACAATCATGTGCATGTCTGAAGTGTGTTTACTAAAAATACCCTTATAAAGATCTTTTTATAGTATCTAGCACTGTATTCATTACTTCCCCGTTCCTGTTTCGCGCGACAACGTTGCGCAGCTACTTATTGAGATAACTTCGCTCTAGTTTTAGAAAAAATTTGGCGCACTTTCTTTAATAGACGTTATCAAATTTTGAGTTCATCATAGATCCATCAAAAATGTACAGTAACCGCAGATCTATCAAAAATGAAACTTTTGCATCGGAGATTCATAAAACGATCGTATATCACGGAAAAGTGATGCAATCCGCTTTAACATGATCGAACATTGAGTCATTAGAAAGCGTAATAGCAATACGTTCAAATAGAGGTCATAATTAAGTAATTGTATTGTAACATACGATATAAATATGTAAAGAAAAAGAAAGCTAGTTATGCTTTCGCCTGTATTCATAAAAATAAAGAAATAAACCCCAAGTTTGCTTAGTTTTCATATAAAAGTCACCCTAAATAGATACGGTTACACCTTTTGCCGGTCTTGGCAATAGATGGCATGGTGCTTAATCGTTACATGTTATATCGCAATCTATTTTTATAATACTGACCCATCTATAGTCTTGGCAATATGATTTAATGCAAATCTTGAATGAAATTTTAATAAGATATTATATTAATATTCGTGATATAATTTAATGCAAATCTTGAATGAAATTTAAATTAAATATCTAATTAATATTATTAAGAAAATTTTTGTTATAAAAAGGTTAGCTAGATAGCTTTTAATTTTGGCAAACGTGTTAATAATATAGAGCAAAATATATTACATTTTCATTGAATGTCAAAATATTTTTATAAAGCACCAAATAAATAATTAAAATCTTTCAGTTCATTATATTCAAAATTTAATACATAACCGATCATGAAAATCATTCAAGCTTATTCGGCATTTAATATATGCTTTATACTTTTTATAGAATTAGTAGCAATTGCTTTTACTCCTTCACAATCACGATTAATTTCACGATCTAATGTCGAAAGAAAATGTACCAATGTATCCATTGCACTTAAACATAGCAAATCTATTAAATATGATGATGCCAAAGAATGTCTTGAGAGCTTTCCTTT